TCTCCTTGGACCGTAAACACCATAAGGTGGTGCATATGTGCCACCATTACCTTCTAGGGCTTGGGTATTGGACTAGAACCTTGCATGCATGAGCTAAAGACCTTAAACCACGAAATGGTAGGAGTTACCATGGTTTACTACTGCGCCGTAAACCCACTTGGACCGTAAACCCAAAACCGTAAACTCCATGAGAGTTGGTCCATGAACCGTAAACCCTAATAAGGGGGCCTATTAGGGTAGCAAAGGTACCCTAATATTTGTCCGCTTTATTTCCTGTTCCTTGTTTGGTTGTGGACTCAGAGCATCCGGTTATTTGTCCGAGTGTCGTTGAAGTCCTAGTTATATATTATGTATATCTGTTTAGATATTAAAACTCTTACTCCAGTTCAGCGCCTTTGGGTAGCAAAGGTACCTAGATAACCTCTCAAGTAAACTAAAATAGGTATAGTTTAGGAATCAACAATAACTTTTAGGAGGAACCTAGCTATATCAATATTCTAAAACTTGTACTTTTAGTAAAAAGAAACGTATATAGCAATCAAAACACGAGATACATTCGGGTCTTGGTAGAGAAACTCATTCCTTTAAACACAAAACAGTCGGGTGTTGGTAGAAGACTGCTTTCAGTAGAGGAACTCATTCTTTTAAACCTGAAACATTCGGGTCTTGGTAGAAGACTACTTTTAGTAGAAAATATAGGATTTTCTGGAAGGAATTCAAATACTCTATAAACTTTTATCACCATCATCTAATGAGATTATTTTAAGGAAAAACATGTATTTATATCAATGTCATTAAAATACTTATGAACTCACCAGCATTAAAATGCTGATATACTCTCTTTCAAAATAACTTGTATTCTCAGTTCGTCAGTAGACAGGTACACTCCGGGAGCTTTTGCGAAGTCAGCCTTGTACCGAGCTGCATCTTATGTTATTCTCTATATGTACTTTTGAGGCTGTTGCTAAATGTAACTTATGTAAAAACTTATACTATTAATCCAATGGTTGTTGTACTTTGATTACTATACTGCATGTGTTGTGATACTTGACATGACGTCTTCCACCCCAGAACGTTTCAGTCGTTCCGGTTTTGGGGTGTGACAGATACACTCCTCACAATCATCGCTTAGCATTCTAAGTCTAAGTCTAGAAATAAATCCTTATTCCTAGTTCGCTTAAACTAATGCAATGATACCAACTGTGACATCCCCATTTTCTCGGCCAGAAAAGACCAATTTTGTTTATGATTTATAAAAATCAGAGTATCTCTTTTAATAAAAGTGTTGTGGAATTTGTTCCCAGTAAAACATGATAAATACGTTATCGAAGCATTTCTGAAGAAATGTATTTTTATTCATTTTAAAACATTGGGATGTCATCGTCAATACAGAAACATAAGCATAAACAGAACTTACATTCATTATCACTAGTGATTTATATCTCCTTAATCTCTCAGTGTAATGTAACTTCATATCGACACCTCTGATTCAAATAAACTGAGTGGGTCAGGTTGGGAAACCTGGTGAGTACATAGGGTTATCAACCCACAATAATATAATTATGTTTAATCATTAAACAATCAACTCAATTACCCATCCCCATTATCTTCTTTTTACTCTTAAGAATCTACCCTAAGAATCAACTATTCCTCGTTCATTCATTCCTAAGGATCATCCTAAGGAATCGGCACGAAGTCCATCGTCACCGGGGTTTAGGCACTAAGTCTGCATAGTCGCCAAGATTTATACAACAGGAACTAAGTCCGCATAGTCGTCAGGGCTTTGGCACCAAGTCTGCAGGATCGCCAAGGTTTAGGCACCAAGTCTGCATGATCGCCATGGTTTATACAACAGGTACTAAGTTCGCATAGTCGTCAGGGTTTTGGCACCAAGTCTGCATGATCGCCAAGGTTTAGAGTACACCGGGTGAACACATCGTTCACAACACCTACAGGTTGCAAGCCTGCTAGTGTTCCACTGGACTGTCTAGAATAGTCCGTGGTTGTCATCCATACTCTGCTAGATGACGGGGGGACATCATTTGGGAAAAAGGCTTCTCACATCGTCCACCTCTCACCCTTACCTCATGGTCTATATCACCTCTCAACTCATCATCCAACTCATATTTCATCTACCCATGTTTTACCGAACATATTATGTAGATATAAATACATATACAGTTTAAATCATATAAAACTTGCATAAAATCATTCATCCAACATAGATAGCAAGTATACAGATAATATGCACACATAGCACGTAATTTATATAAAATACTTCATATCTATGTGTAATATGAAAGTAACTATGCACTCACCTGATAAGGTGGTAATTCTGAATTCGGGCAGCGCTCTGTTACTTCTTAAAACAATTTCCGTCGACAAAACCTAGTATCATTACCACTAGGGTCTGGCTCAATATTCACCGAGAATAATTAATAGTCTAGCTATTATTACTATTATATAAGCGTTAAACAATACTTATATAACCCATAATAATAGCCCAAGTACTTATTATAAGTTCCTAATAACGTTACTATAATTAAATAAAAGCTATATTAAAAATAGCGTAGACATAGCTCACTTACAGCGGGTTTTATAGAGAACCGGGCTTCGCTTGGAGCAGCGTTTCTGAACCGAAAGACCTTTTTTCTCGGGACTCCGGGAGCCTCGGGGCTTCCTTCGGGTGCTAGGGAGGTTCCCTAGGGTTTAGGGGGTTAAAACCCTTAGAGAGAGAAAGTAGTTTAGAGAGAGAATGAGAATGGTGTGAAAAATTCGAGAAATCTTGCAGCTATTTATAGGCTGCTGGCTTCGGACTACGATGCGCGTACTGAAGGCTACGCTGGGCGTAGCTTCGGATAAGGGTGCCAGCTTCGCACCAGCTGGCTCGCACTCGGACTCGGAAGGGATAAGGCCGGGGTACGCGGGGCGTACTCATCTTCGGACACGGGGCGTAATTGCGAGGCGACGTGTCCTTCATCCGAAGGCTATCTGCGATCAACAATCGACGGCTGGAAATGCGCCACGTCAGCACTTCTATCATCAGCTTCGCAAATTCAAGTGCAATCTTTAAAAATTCGTAACTCTCGCGTACGAGCTCTGTTTTCGACGTTCTTTATATCCACGTGTAGGCGGGAATGTACTCTACAAATTTCGTTTAGACTCCGTCGGCTAATTTTGAATTTATTTTAAAAGTTATATTTTTAACAGGTCGAGACAGGATTGGTCCGTTAAAAATTCATAACTTCTTCATCCGATGTCCGTTTTCGTCTGTCTTTTTATTGTTATACTACTATTAACGAGATATTCGATTCTCGTTTAGGTTGTGTCGGCTAAAAACCGCTCGATCTAATATTCGAACTTCGGGCTGTATACTGCTAAGTTGAAACTTCGAAAAATCATAACTTCCTCATACGAAGTCAGATTTGGGCGTTCTTTTTATGGCCGCTCTCGGTTTTAACGTATTCTACGACTTTCGTTTAGATCGCGAAGGCAAAAAGTCGTTCTATCATAAATTCACTATTTACGCTTCCCGGTGACGTGCCGGTTTTGCCGTAAAACTTCGATGTGCCATAACTTCTTCGTTATAACTCGGATTTCGGCGTTCTTTATGTGCACGGAACCCTTGAGACATATTCTACAACTTGGGTAAGATTATTTATTCTAAATGATCTTTTGCCGAAAAGTCGTTTTCGACCCCTATTATCTCTAAATTGAGTAGCCCGGATCTACAGGCGTTACAGTAAACCCACAAACGTAATATTTTTTTCCTTTACCATAAACCTAATTTTCATAAAACTCTTTATTTTTTGTCATAACATGCCTTTTTTATTTTTTTATTTTTTTAAGTGCAGTTTTTGTAAATCATGTAGTTTTTTTAAAACATGTAGTTTTTTTTTAAAGATTACAGTTTTTTATAAAAAAAATATACTTATTTATTGATTCATAATTATATTAAAATATTAAAAATAAAAATTATTGCGCCATCAATAAGAAAAAATGTTGACTTTGATTTATTACTTTAAGTTTAATAAATAAAACAATAAAAATTACATATAGTAATATTCTGTGTTAACCGAAAATTGTTATTAAAATAAGTAATATCCTAATAATATAGTAATAAAATAATATTAATAATAAAAAAATAATGATTAGTGTATTTTTTAGTCATAATTTAATCAAATCGTAACTTGTTTGTCTCATAATATATGGAATTTTTGTGCCTTCCAAAATTGATAATTTCTTTAAAGTTGTAGGACTAAATCGTAACTTGTTTGGAAAAATATCACACGATAATAAATCAAAATCACGAGCACTTTTTCTCTATTCTTTTGCAAAAGGTGTCAAAAAATCACCAGCACTTCTTCTCTATTCTTTTGCAAAAGGTGGTTGACAGTAATAACTAAGAGAGAGAAAAACAATTAAAAAAAATGCTTTTTTTGAAAACAAGATAATTTATTAATAAGAATGATTATCTAATAATAATAGTAGATTAATAATAATAGTAGATTGGTGTGACTGGTGTGTAAAAAGAAAAACCTTTGGCATATATTGTATGGTGGCGTTAAAGCATGAAAAACCAATAGACCTATCAAGATCTCTCTATTAATTTGTCTATTTATAAATGGTGTCCCAAGAGTATTTTACAACTTTATCTTTAATTGTTAGTTTTATCAAATAAGATTAGGTACAACTTAGTGGATCATTATGTCATTCATCAAACATTAGGCATATTAGATAAATATACCAATAGTATATAACATAATCTTGCTAGAATAAGGATTCAAAAGGAGAAACATGAGACAACTCACGTAAGTAGAACCTAAAGTAACATTGATTACCCCTGTCTAAAAGTATTCGTGCAAAATGTAAAAGTTATAATTAAATATAAGGTACATATTCAAAGCACACTTCATCAAAACAAATTTGACCACTTATTACCAAATTTTATGCATTAAGTGTTAAAACACACACATAAATAATCATTTATGCGATGAAGACTAGTACTGGGACGTATCATTAGCAGACGCCATGATCAGCTGTTGATTAAGGTGCATCATGTTCCATGGATTGTTGAAGAAATCAGGCTGCTCAAACTCAAACATTCCACTAGTACCATTTGTGCAATGATTTGCTGTAAAATGATTACTATTATTGTTCATGGAATTGATCATTTCGTTGAGGGAATCCAGCCTTTGACTCAGCTCACCCATTTGAGCCCTCAAAACAATGTTCTCTGCTTCAATTTGAAGAAATTGCTGAGTGGTGACTTTTATGGTGGTGACGATCTGGCTGTTATTGTTCTTGAGGTGATTTATTTGAGCCGTTAGATCATCGAGATGCTTCTGTTTCCTCATTCTTGATCTCCTTGCTGATTCACGGTTCGATTGCATGCGTTTCCTCTTTCTAGGATCGATCAAAACCTCATCAGATCCAGAGTTCTGGATCTGAGTAAACCTAGTTGAATTCCCACTAGAAGAATCCATTAAAGACAGAAATTTTACCAGTAATATAATATACGAATATACGATAATATAAACAGAAACAAAAAAGGAATATAAAAACTTGGTGAAAACAGAGTAAGACGCAGGACCCAGATGGAGAAATAAAATTATATGCTGTAAATAGTTGGATCGATGGATAGATTCATGAGAAAACGTAAAACCAATAGAGGAAGACGACGGAGAAAGATTGAACAAGATGGGTCCTGCGTCTGAATAAGGAGTTTATCATAAAAACTAAATGGAAAACTTTAGCAACAACGGGATACATTAATCATTAGCATTGATGTATACTATTTTCTGAAAGAACAAACGCGAAAATCTTCGAATTAAAAAGACGATTGAAATTTCGAAGAGAATTTGGGGTGAATTGATGGATTTGGGAGATGGGTTTTGGCGTTTTTAGTTGAGGAAAACAGAGATTGGGGAGAAGAAGGGATTGAAAAATGCAGGTGGGACTTGGGAATTGGAAGGGGCTTGTGATGGGAAGAGAATGGCTGATTATATGGACCCAGAAACTCAGAAAGGAAGAGCAAATGGAAATGGTTTCTAATAAAATAATGGAGGACAGGGGAACAAAAAAAGAAATTAGGTTAACATGGTTCTTTTTTCATCATAGATAGAGTATTTTATATTTATCGTAATAATAAAAAGTTATGAGGTTAAACACAATAAAAAATAGTTTGTATTTATTTATTTGTATGTTACATATCTTATTTTTAATTTATTTTAATTATGATATTATATTTTTATTTTTTAATTACTAAAAAATAAATCCTAAAAGAATATAGTATTATAATACAAATAAATACTAAAAAGTATAATATTACAATACAAATAAATACAAAAAATAATACAAATGTAAGTAAATAAAAAGATTAATTGTTTTTGAGATTATAACATAAAATAAATCTATATCATAAATAAAACACTTATTTGTTAGTTAAGGATGAGCACTAGCCGACCCGATATAAATTGGTACCAATCCGAGAAATCTCATTACCAAAATAGGTAAAAAAGATATTGAATACCAAACTGAGTTAACATTACTGGGAATGGTATTGATTTTCAATACTAGCATCAGTATCGAATCTTGAATTTCATGATTTTAGAGTATTGAATATCGTTACATATTAACATAACACAATGTCGGTTCAGTACGTGTACCAGTTCATATCGGAAATTTCAGTACTTTTGCTTACCCCTAGTGTTAGCTAGTTCCGAAATAGTAATTAAAAATATATTTTAAGATTTTATTATGTGTATGGTGCATACAAGGTATTTGATGAAATATCTCAATGAAATTAGGTAAGTTATTAATTTGTGAAAGTGTATTTTTTATGTATTAAGTTGTGATGTGTATATTTTTTCTGTATTAAACTGCGAAGTTTGTATGAGTTGTATAAATATTGTATGCTAACGGGTTTATGCGATCCAATAAACATTGTGCAATAATTTCTTATTATATATATATTGGTGTATTAAACTACGAATGGTTATAAATTGATGTATTAAACTATAAATGATGTATGAATTAGTCCATTAAACTATGAATTAGTGCATGAATGAGTTTTATTAGATTGTGAAAATGACGATTTTACTGTTTTTACACAGAAAAATTAAAAAACGAAATTTTAACCGATATTCACAGTTGAATAACAATGAAATCGGTAGTTTTTAAAGTTTCTAATATTTAGGAGTTCGTATATATATATATATATATATATATATATATATATATATATATATATATATATATATATATATTGTATTTTTTTAGTATGTACATGTGCCAATATTAATATATAGATAGATCATACGTATTGATAAAAGATATACAATGTCACTAATATTATTTATGTTGTCTCTTATGATGATCGTTATGAAATTGATTGAAAATGTAAATCCATGTCACACTAATATAGACAAATACGAATCGAATAAAATATATCTATTACAATGTCATCTTAGTCACGTTAACTATAAACACATAGCCAAACTCTAGTTCATTAGAATTTTGCATCAACGGAACTTGAGTTACTTGATTCGTATAGGTTCTATTTTGTGGAAAGATGACTAAGAAAATGTTTGCTTATATAAATGGGAATCCCAAGTTGTAACATCATGTTTCGAGGTAATCTTTAATTAAAGGCACGGATGGTAATTGACCTGGAAAAGGCCCCCAATCTTAAAGGAGTGAGTTTGAACCCTAAGGAATAATGTTATTGGGGTAGGTGTTAAGACACTGGCTTAGAGAGAAGTTGGGCTTAATTAGGACTTTGGGTTTGTCGACCCAGGTTTGCCACGACGTGGTAGGCTAATGACCAAGACGTGGCACATTAGTTAAATGAAGAATCAGGACTGGCTGGCTGCGACGACGTGGTGAGATGGTGGGCACAGTATGGTTGTTGTTACAAACCAAGCCTAAGATTCTAGGGTTTCTCTCATATTTATAGACCTTAACTCTTGGATTATTACATTCTCCTTAGCCTCCATTCCCCTTTTTCAAAACCTAGCCTCCCTTCCATGGTTGTGAGCTTGGTGGCTTGGTTTTGGTTTTGAGCTTCTTTCACGCTTTGGTGTCTTGGTGCAAGGAAGCAAAGAGCTAGCTTAGATCCTTCATCTTCTTCAGATTTCTGAGTCATTTGAGGTATAAAGCTTATATCTGGAACTTTGTTCTCTTTGATTCAAGATCATGCTCATTACGCATGGTTTTGGTCACTTTCATGAATGCTCTTGGAGTTTGAGGAACTCCAAAGCTTGTTATGGCACTCTAACGGTCAATTAACTTCTATTAAGTGAGAAAAGGGTTCATGTTTGGGGTTATATTGAGTCCATGCACAAAGTCTTGGCCTTTGGAGGACTTAATGGACTTAGGGTTGTAGATCTTGCCTTGAGATGATGTCATAATGGATAAAGTTGGAAACTTTATCCATTATGTCATTGAGAAGAACCATGTATGAAGTTATGAGCCTTGATCTATAAGGATTAATTTCTTCATGAGAAAATGGCTTCCTGACCTAAACCACGACGTGGCCAAGGGCTTGCCATGACGTAATGGTGCTCAGCCATGCAACTGTTTTGTTCGGACTTGGCCATGGCGCGACCAAGGGCTTACCACAGCATTGCAGCCGTTGACTTTTAACCAGATTGACCATGGGTCTAACTTAAAGGATTTCGGTTGTTAATTAAGGTTTGACCTTTGTTGGTTGATATTCGGTTCACGGCTCTGTCCAGTGTGAGGAGTTAAGAGTGTAGAAGTGTTTCTCTAATTCTGCATTTCAGGTGAGTTTCATCACTATACTATGTGTTACGATGTATATCCTTGCATGGTAGGATATAAGGGGTAGTGATATGCTAGTTAGAGGATTAGTAGGTCGATGGTCTTCCAGTTGAGTGCCTTAGGGGTTGTTTGTAGTCTTGTAGGATAGTCTGAGAACTCTTGATCTAGGCTTTATTGTTTGTTCCTTATTTTTTTGTGGCTTTAAAGTAGGATCACCTATTTGAATATTTATCCTACTTCTGATTATATACAATCGTGCACTTGGTGATTTGTTGTTGTGACATAATGTGTTGTATGAGACCATGTATGCGGTAGTGGGTTATTAGACAAGTAGACTAGTATAAACAGTTACTTGTATTGTTGGATTATTGGATTGTTTGTTTGTTATATATGTCGACATAACTTGTGGTAGGTTGAGGCGGTCCTGCTTTGTGTGGTAGGCCAAGATAATCGGGAAGGTCAGCGGTGTGCTGAAGGCCAAGTGTGGACCACTTGTATGTTGAAGGTGAGTAGGGCGGACCAGTCTTGGACTAAAGGCCATTGTGTGTATGATTGTCTGTATATTTTGGTGTGTGGTATTTTGGGGAAACTCACTAATCTTTGACTTACAGTTGTAGATTAAATGTTTTCAGGTACTTCTAATGATTGTGTGAAGGCGAAGTTGTAACTGTACACAATCATTAACAACATTGGTGTTTCGCATTTATTATGATACTTATGATTTTCGCAAAATTGTATTTTTAACAAATGAGATTTCTTGACTTTGGGGTTTTACGAAAATGGTGTTTTATCTTAATTAAAAATGAAAAAATTGTTGTGAAAAATGGGACATTACACAAATGTATACTAAGACACATTCATACCAATATATGTATACCCTATACATCTTTTGATGTTATGTCTTAGAGTCTGTGGTATGCATTCTCAAACTGATTTTGACTAAAAAGGTAAATACGACACATATAAGTTATATATAGGCTTCTTTCCAAGTTGTCTTACTTGAAGTTCTATGGTTGTGAAGCCCACCTATCACATGATACCTCTAGTAAACTAGCAGTCAAAACTATCAGATATATTTTCGTGGGATGTTATTTCCACAATCCACTAAGGATAAAGTTTTTTTTGCCTATAGTGTAGAGTTCTTAAATAGAAACATCTTAATACAAGAAGAAAGTAGGAGTCTTATAGATATAAAATATTTTTTAGAACCACAAGATACAACACCTTATGAAAGTACCAAAGAACAACATGGTGGGTACACTCACTTAATTGTAAAGGCACAATAAGAAACACTTAGCATTTGTAGTCTTTATAGGATTCATAAATAGTAGGATATATATATATATATATATATATATATATATATATATATATATATATATAGCGAAAGGATCAAATGAGAACACCTAAAAGGTTGATAATGCGAGAACAAAGTATATTCATTTGTGATTCCATGTATTCATTTGTGGAGAAATGATAAATTTTTACGCCTTTACTTTCAATTGAAGAGAAAAAGCAATACAACTTCATCCCAATTAAAAATTTATCATTTCTCTACAAATGAATACATGGAATCACAAATGAATATAAATTGTTCTCGCGTTCTCAACTTTTTTGGTGTTCTCATTTGATCCTACTCCTATATATATATATATATATATATATATATATATATATATATATATATATATATATATATATG